CTCCCAAAGCCTGAAATCAATGTAAATTAATTTGTTCCTCTAAAGCAGGAGCCATAGTACTGCTGACAACTAAAACGTGTATCTTTTTACAACTAATTACATTTTAAGTGGTTGTAAAAGGGCCTATATAATGGTCTTTTACCTTCACAGCCTAAAATATTTACTATCTGGCTCTTTTGAAGAAAGATTGGCTATTCTCTGTTCTAAACTGACATTTTAAGGAATTAGTTCTGCTACTAGCCAGTTTCTGTATCCAGAAACAAGGCACTTAAGTGTTCTGACTCTTGTTTCCTATGTTTGGAAAATGTAATACTTAGCCTGTCTGTTTAGAAGAACTGTGTAAGCAACCAGAAGATTGGAAGTAAAACGGAAACACAAATCCTGTGTTTGTTTCCCTTCATGGAGATTGAACGTTGGCTTTCTTTACTTTGTTGTTAGCAAGTGTATGTGCTGCCAATGTCCTGTTCATAGCCTGACAATTGCTCAGTTTTAACAAAATCTAAAGCAGGGCCCTGAGTGGGGGTTTTTTGTTGTTTATTTGTTTTTTGTTATTTTGTTTTGTTTCCGAGACAGGGTATCTCTGTGTAGTGTAGCCTTAGCTGTCCTGGACTCACTTTTTAGACCTGGCTGCCCTCAAACTCATAGAGATCCATCTGCCTTTGACTCCCTGAAGTGCTGGGATTACAGGCGTGCTCCACCACGTCTGACTGGTCTTTAGTTTTTTATTGTTGTTGTTTGGGGTTTTTGTTGTTGTTTAGCAACCACTTAATAAAACCTAAAATAAAAGAGTTCAAAATTAGAATGTGGTGGTATATGGCTTTAACCCCAGCATTTGGGAGGCATAGGCTGGCAGTTTGAGGCCAACCTGGTTTACATAGTGAGTTCCTAGTGTCTCAAAAAAGGAAAAAGAAGAAATTGAGAACTCGACTGCTGTGTGTGTGATAAACGACTGCTCTTAAGCTAGGATCGAGTGTGTGGTTCATACATGCTGCCTTCTTAAAGATAGTTTCTTTCCCCTACCTTTAAAGAATGAATGTTATTGGTTTGAAAATGAGCGCTCTCTGGGGACTCCGTTATTTTAAGACACACTTAATGTGTACTGGTATTCAGAAGAACTTAAAAGTCTTATAGGCCTGGGTGAAGTTTGTAATCCCTAATACATATGGTAAAGAACATCCCCAAAGTATACTGTTACTTGAAATCTGAGGAATAGTATGGAATTTCTGTTGTGCAAAGGCCCAACAGAAACCATATTTTTAGAGCACACGGTCAGTTGGCAGAAATGATTTGCAGCAGTTCTTTCCAAACCAGTGCCTGGACATCCATGTGGCTACACCTCAGCTCTAAATGAATAGACAGCATTTTGGATCTCCGAGGCCTTGGGGTAGTGGTTGAGAAGCAGTTTGTACAAATTAAATGTTTGGTCATTGATGTAGTTACTGGCCATTACCTGCCCTCTATCATTTCTCTACTAACTGGCAAGAGCACCTTGACCTTTCTTTTGTTTTATCTTGATTCCAAGTAGGACTTAGAGGATTGTATTTTGGTTTTGTGCTTAAAAGAATCACTACATCCAGTTTAGGTCTAATAACTGAGGTTTATCTTGTAGACACCTTTATTCTTCCATGTGTGTTTATTTCAATTTTATGATTTTGTTCTAATTAAAGTTTATGCTTTTTTCTTGACTTACTAGTCAGAGGCACAAGATTGATCCTAATTAAACTAATCGGATTAAATTGACAAAATATATTTCCCAAATTTTATAGTTCCTAACCCACACAAGTTCAAGTTCAGTGTTACATTCCAAGTACAGTAAAGATGGCAGAAATAGGAACTTAGAGATGCCTCACATTTATTTAAACATTTTATTATTTATGTGTATGTATGTTGTGCCTGCATGTGGGTATATGTACCATATGTGCGCCTGGTGCCTGAGAAAGTTGTGAGACACCACCATGTAGGTGCCAGGAATTGAACCCAGGTCCCCTAAAAGCAGCCAGGGCTCATAACTGATACAAGCCATATTTCCAGCCTCCCAGTTATCCTTTTTGTGGGGTTTTGTCTTGTGTTATTGATCCCTGTTTCACACATGTCAAAGCTGCTCGAGATGCCTGCAGTTTCTGAAAGAGATAATTATGACATTTCAGAATGGAGGCCTAAGAACCTAAATAGGCCAACTATCAGAAGCCTTCAGGCCAGAGACTCTAGAGGGGAGTAGCCCTTTATCAGCTGAAACCATCCACTAAGACACTTACTGCAGAAACGGCTTAGTTGTGGTGTTCTTATAGAACATTGTTACTGAAATGACAAGGCCATTGTTACTGGCCTCAAGCTCAGGAGCCTCTGATAAAACAGCCTCTTCACTGCAGGATCAGTGCACCGTGTCCTTTTCTTTTTTTCCTTTATTTTTCTCTACCAAGGCACATGTAGAGATTAGAGAAAAGTGTTTCAGACTCCACTGTGTGGGTTGTGAAAACCAAACTCAAGGCAGGTACCTTTACCCACTGAGCCATCTCCCTGGGCCCCTTACCTTTGTTTTGGTTTCTCAAGACAGGGTTTCTTTGTGTGGCCTTGGCTGTCCTGGACTTGCTTTTGTAGACCAGGCTGATCTCGAACTCACAGAGATCTGCCTGCCTATGCCTCCTTTGAATGCTGGGATTACCTTTGTCTTTTAAAAACATGACTCAGACACTGTCAATTCCCTGAAATTTGTGGTGCTGATTTATTTGTGGAGCTGCAAGGCAGTACCTCAGCCCTTCAAGTTTCTTTGGGAAATTATATTCTGGTAGAGTTTCTTTCCTTCCTCTGCTATATAAAAGTTAATAAGCAATTATAATCATATGTTATTGGGCCATTTCCTATTTTAAACTTATAGGCCACTTCCTCTTAATAGACTTGGGGCTATTTTCAAACATTTCAGATTAATTGGTAATCTTTTCCCACATGAAAACTTGTTTAGTTGACAAGTACAGATAGCTCAAAGTCTAATCCTGAATTCTTTCTCAGCCAGTCTGTTAATGCTGTCAGTGTTGTGTCAGACATACCAGTGCAAAGTGTGTGTGTATGTTGAGGGGTACTGGTATCCCATCGGTACTGACTCAAGGCTTGCCTACTTCTTTTACCTCTGCTTCTTGAGTCCTCAGATATTTGAAGGACCTGCCCAGGGTCTGAATGGTGACAATACTGTTTACACATAGTATGTTCACTTTGTTTTCGGTCTTAAATCCATTGACAGTGCTAATGATTTTAACTCTTCCGACCAGCATAGAATGACTGATCTGTTTGAATGTCAATGTTTTAACCAGAGTTGCTGTGGTTACAGGTTGGATTGGGGGAAGCCACATCTTTAGTCTTGAGGGTCTTGGGAACAAGTCATGACAAATACAAAGAAGTTGCCAGTTTTAAAATAAATGTGTATTATGCTGAGAAATTATCTCCTAAATTTTAACATTGGTTTGAAACTTCCCTCCTGCTTGGGTTAGAGTATTTAAAAGAGGAGTTTCTCTATGATATCTTTATTTTATAGCACTTTTATCCCATTTTTAGTACATTTTTCTACCCTCTACTGCTAGGTCATGAGATGTATAAGGTTCGTTGTTTTCCTTCTCTCCTCAGGTGGTCTTCGAGGAATAGCACGCGGTGGCCTGGCCGGACTGACACTCACCAGTGTCTATGCACTGTATAACAACTGGGAGCACATGAAAGGTTCCCTGCTCCAACAGTCACTCTGAAGATTTTTGCCACCTTAGGAATGGGGAACACTTCACTGTCATCCTGATCAATTAATAAGTCAGTCTGGAGTTGCTTCCTCTCTTGTACCTACAATTACTTTGAACAATTGGAGACTCTGATTTACTGTGACAAAGATCATGGATGGTTAGCCTGGACTACACTACTGGCCCTTAAGTGAGTGGAAGCCAACCCCTTTGGTGGCTCACTGAGTATGTGTTTTCTTCTCCTTTGGAGATGAGCTTGCACCTGTTTTCTTTCCTGCCCCCAAACTGGAAAAACCACTTGCTCTCCAAATTCAGGCCCTAGTTATTTTCAACACTTATCACCATGTTTATTCATTTAAAAATCTAAAACTTATGTTGCCCTGTATTCCAAATAAAGGGTGAAAATAGAACCAAAGTCATAATTCCAGCATAAAACTCATTATCTCCATTTAATAACATCTAGGTGGATAGAGAGATGGCTTATCAGGTAAATGACTTGCTGCACAAGTGTGGACACTGAGTTTGAATCCCCAGCACACCCACATATATGCCCAACAAGTGTGACAAACAGTACTCATAGTGCTCAGCAAGCAGAGAAAGGATCCTAGACGCAAGCTGACTAGCCTAGCCCTAGGTTCAAGTGAGAAAACATGCCATTATCAACTTTTGGCAAAGGCACAGACATGAAGATGCCTTCCTGAGTATAAAGTGGAAGCTTTATTCCCCTTCCAGAATTAAGTCAAAACAGCATGTTTTCATGTTTTCGGTGAAATAAAGGACTATTGGTAACATAGACAGCTAACCTAAGATTTTCCTCCCACACAGATGACATAAAACCTCAAGATATTTCAAGTTAATCATTAGAGTAGTATGCTAGAACAGAACACTCTGTACAGAACAGTTGACCTTCATCCTGTGTAGTAACTCTGGAAATAATTAAGGGCTGGGAGTTTTCTAAGAAGCCTGAGAAAGCTAAAGGAAAAAAACCATGTAACTGCAATGCAGGTACAATAATACTAAGCAACCTCTGCTCTCTGGCTGGGGAAAATACACTAGGACCTTTTTGAATATATCTAGTAAAAAGGAAGCTGGCAGAAAAGTACTAAATAAATGGCAAAATCACAGTGGGGGGGGGTGTTTTTTAAAAAAAAATGTATGTAGTTTTTTTTAGGGAAAAGCAAAAAATGATAAAATTCATATTACACTTTGTATATTTGCATTATTTACTGTACCCTAACTAAGCATTAACATTTTGAGCTTTACAGAATAACACAAACAACTATGATGTGGCCATTATGCTTTTAATGAAGATACAAAACTTATCAATGCAAAAGAATGTTGTTATATATCATTATCATGTGATTAACTTAAATTACGTTTTAGTAATGTGAAATACAGTGTGTTAGACCTCAAAAAAACTACAAAATTTCCTGCAACCTAAAATGTTGGGAAGGTTCCTTAAATTGTTTTACCCACCAACTTTATAATACTCAGTGGCATCCGGGGGACATAAGAAAATATGAGGCTCTTTTTCAGCTGTGATTTGGCGCTTTAGTAAAGCTGTATGGTAATGTCACCATGGGGCCATAAAGTTTTCCCAAAAGTACTTCCAATAGCATAGGCAGTTCAGAGGCATAGAGAGCAGCCAAATTATCCTGGATAATTGTAAAACCTAAATCCTGCTACTCCTATGGAGAGAAACTGTCTAGAATGTGAGCCTATCTTAAGGATGTCAGTTCTACAAAGTTTCAGTAAGCACTCCCAAGGCACAGGTGTTGAGCACAGCCTGTTAATCAAGATGTCACTGCACCATACTGTTAGAGGTTCAGGATGCTGCGCTTGAAGTGACAGGACATTGACTTTATCCCTAGTTGAGAGCACCAGGTGTCAAGCTCAGCTTCCATTTATACAGGATGCACCGATCAATCCTTAGGATGATGAGTGGTTCACATACTATATTCCTAATACATTTTGCCTTTCTGCTTTAGTTGGCTGAGGATTCTTTAAGACAAGGTCTATAGGACTTCAGGGACTCTGACTGCCCACAGAGTGGTTTTGCAACAAGAGTTCTTTTCAAAGAGCTCACTAAGTACTTAGAAAGAAAGGCAAGATTATAGTAGCTTAATTTCTTTCAAATGAAAAATGTTACAAATGACATGTAGGCTAATTATCTGGTGATTAATATCAAAAATTGCAACATAATATAACTAATAGACATTTAGTGGGGGAACATATAGTGTATTGGCAAGGTTAATTTTTTTGTGTGAAATAGTCTGTATATCAACTGAACAGAAAATTCATTCGCATTCATCCAGAAGCCCATAGCAAGAAAAACAGCTTAAAAAAAAAAACAATCAAAACTTACTGTTTACTAGCTTTAGAACACATTAACACACTTGATACAGAAATATTTCACTTTTAAAACTAGTGTTTGCCATGGAAGCTGGTAAAGGCTTGTGTACCAGGATGCTGTTTCTAGGTTGGGAGTCAATCAAGTTAGTGCTTCTGTAAGAAGGAATGAATCACATTAGCATCAAGCCTCTTTCACAGACTAACTAATAATTTATGATTTCTGTTCACTAGTTCAAAACTAAGCAGGAGAGGAACTAAGCTGACTATTCAGGCCTGGAATACACGGTGGTTGGCAAGTTCACAGTCACTCAGCTCAGTGATGTGCCATAATCTTCAGGAAAGCTGCTCAGTTCTAATAGTCCATCCCTTCACATCTGAAAAGAAAAGCCCACAAAAATGTCAGTTCATTGCCAACAGAAAATTCTTCCCACCTTGAAGCAGACTCAGGTCTTAAGCTACCACAACCCATAAGGGAATAAGAAAATTATGAGCAGTTAAGTATGTGTGTGGCATACGCTATGGTATGGTTCTGTCTGGGGGTCAAAGGACAATTTTGTGGAGTCCTTGTTTTACATGGGTTATGGGGATTGAACTATCAGGCATCTTTATTTTGCTAGCACATGGCACCTTAAATTTAAGATTCTTGTATTCATGTACAAATTAAAAGGAATATGGTTCAGTGAGGGAAAGTTGGTAAGAAGAAAACATTGATGAATTGATGAGTCACTATAGTAACAACGCTGGTGCAGGTACCCACCTGTAGAGGAGTTCTGTACAGCCATTTGTCTTTATCAACTTTAAGCTGCATACAGGCAAAGAGATCACAAACAGCTGGGAGGCCATAACAGTCTGGGCGAAAGTTACGTTCTTCTTGTAGGGGTGAATTAAGAAATACTTCCTGCAAGAAGATAAAAGCAATGACTATGGGAGGCATGGAACTAAACTCCCAAGCAAATGTAAAGAACAAAGTATATGTTTTTTTGTTTGTTTGTTTGTTTGTTTGTTTGTTTTAAGAACAAAGGTAACAAAATTTTTTTGTTTCTACAAAAAAATTCTTCTTTACTGCAACATAAAGTTTTAGGACCGGAGATAATACAGTGTGACATGGGAAAATTACTACCTAGGCCAAATTTAGCAGGAATTAAAGCAGATTTCAATTGGGGCAAATTTTGGAGTCTACTCACCTGTGCCTTCTTTCGAAGTAGCCACTTATCTTCTCCAGGGGAGAAATGGTTGAGGTTTCCCACTTTCTTTCCTGGTAAGACCCAGTCAGCAGTGTTAAAAGGACACCAGGAAGTGGCCACAGAGCTTTTAGGTGCTTCTTTGCCAGCTTTCTCCTCAGTACTAGGCACTTCCTTAGAACTTCCTTCTTTGCCTGTGGGCCCAATAAGCCACTCTGACAGGGAACTATTCTTTATGACTTGAAAAGAATCAGCTGTTCTAGGTGCCTTAGCTTGTTCTGTTAGCTCCTGTCTGGAAGGGCAAAGCCACAGGTTCAGGAACTCTTTGTGTTTCTCAGGCTCAGATTTAGGTTCCATAGGCATTCCATTCTTGTCCTTTCCTTCTTTCTTCAGAAGCCATTTTTGCACAGCTTCCTTCTCACAGTTGTCATCACATACACACTCTGCAAAGCTTGTGCAGGGCTCATTGGCTTTGCATACTTCCTCTACTCTACATGAGTCCTGACGGTTCTGGACAAGCCAACCCTCAGTGATTAAGCTGGGTACCGACAGAGGTTTTTTGGCTTCCAAGTGGTCATTTAGGCATTTCAGATTGCCCAGGTTCTCAATTTCCACACCTCTGGGCTGGTTACCCTGACAGTTGGTACACGAGTCAGGCTTGACAAGCCAATCATTCACATTGTAGGGCTCTTTGAACACCTGGAATAGGATTTTAAACTTCTCACTGGTTTCACAGCTGCCATTCTCAGGCTTCTCCGGATCACAGGGTTCCTGGGGAGTCACTAGCCAATCAGACAGATCCAGCTCATCTTGATTGAGGAGCTCTTCATCTTCCACCTTTTCAACTTCAGTAGAGAAAGAACCAGTGCTACAATGGCTGTTACACTTTGAGGAACTTGGTTTTTCAGGAATTTCTTGTTGATGACTGTTGAGGAGCCAGTTTTCTAAGCCCTTTAGATTGCCCCAGGCGTTGCTCAAGAAACTGCAGGCTCTGGCAGAATTCTACACAAGAAATATCCAAAATCAATGTTTAATTTGCCAGAAAAATATAACATTTACATGAAAATTCCATTTTATGTAATCTTTGAATTTATGAAATGGAAACTAAAAGTATTTGTAGCATTATGTTACTTTAGAAAAGGAAACTAGTATTTCTAATATAATGCCTGTATGATAGACAAATTCAAAGACTTAAGCATAAAATACTCAACTGCAACAAAAGCACAAAGTCAAAGAAACAAACTTGTAAAGAACTACCACTATTGGAGAACAACTGCCACTATTGGTAGTTGTGGCAGTTGGACAATGGCCACATAGGCTCATATATTTGTGTGTCTGTTTTCCAGGTGGTGGGCTGTTGAGGTAGAATTAGGATGTGTGGTGGTGGTGTATCACTGAGTGTGGGCTCTGAACTTTCAAAAGCCCATGCCAGGTCCAGTGTCCATCTGTTTCTGTTTCTGACCCTCAAACTTGCAGATAAGATGTACTCTCAGCTACTGCTCCAGCACCATGCCTGCCTGCCACCATACTCCCTGCCATGATGGGTCACGATCTCACCCTCTGACATAAGCAAGCATCCAATTAAATGTTTTTTTTATAAATTGCCTTGGACCTGGTGTATCTTCACACCATATAGAGAGAGTAACTAAGACAGTGGTGAATAAGAATATCAACCATTAACTTCCTAGAAAGCCATACTGGCACAATATATCAAAAGTCTTTAAAAGAGTAGGTAGGCAGAATAGTAACCTAGGAATTTGATTTATAAGAATTTACTAATAATAGCTCCAAAATGTTCAATGAACAGAATGTTAAGTTTTAGCTAAATGAATCATGTGATCAAGTATTATATACTTACCGAAACAGAAATTACAGAATGGTTTTTTATAGATTTATTTAGATGTGCATTTTATGTGTATGGGTGTTTTGTCTGCATGTACGCACACCAGAAGAAAGCATTGGATCCCATGTGACTACAGTCAGAGAAGGTTGCCAGCCATGTGGGTGCTAAGACTGAACTCAGAACTCTTAACTGCTGAGCCATCTCTCCAGCCCTATAGAATGATTTTTTTTCTGTTTTCTGTTTTGAGACAGGGTCTTTCTATGAACCTTGGCTGTCCTGGAACTTTCTCTGTAAACTAGAATGGCCTCAAACTCAGAGATCCACCTGCCTCAGCCTCACAAGTGCTGGAATTAAAAGGCATGTGCCACCAGCACAGAATGATCTTTTAATTACATATATGTACAGAAAATGCTGTATATGTCTTGATGTTATTTTACTTAGGATTATTGACATGTATTTTGAAAGATTTTATTTTCCTAAACTTTCTACACATGGTGAAGTAATTTCATTATTGTAATTAAAGGTTAAAAACACACACTTCTAGATAATGCTAAAACAGAAACTACTGTTAACCCAATCTACCTCAAACAATAAAGGCAGCCACTCACCTGACTATTCTCCAAGGTCTGTTGTGGGGTAAGCCAGTCCTGTGGGTTGATACTGGGTACATAAGGAGCCTGATGACCAATGGCAGGTTTGCTTACAAGAAGCCATTCGCTGAGAGAAACAGCTGTGCCACTGGATGCTGACTTCTACAAGCCAAAAAAGAAAAAGAAACACTTAGCTGCTTAACAACAAGGCAGTATCAAATGCAAGAGAAAATTTACCAGAAAACGGGAGTTGCAACCACTCTTAAGTGAGGATTACTACTGAACGTAAAAGTTACGTGCTTTCTACAGCCTCTATTTTTTTTATTTATTTTCTTACTGGGCTGGTGAGATGAACCAATGGGTAAGGGTACCTGCACCAAACCTGAGTGGATGCGCACAGCCTCTGACCTCCACACAGGCACTATGGCATGTGCATTCCTGCCATACAGACACAAAGATAACTGTTTAAATGTATTGTGTATGAGAAGGCACACATGCTATGGCATGTATATGGAGGTCAAAGGACAACTTTGTGGAGTTGGGGCTCTCCCACCTTTACACAGGCTCCATAGGTTAAGTCAGGTAACTTGCAGGGTAAGCCTGCACCATCTCCACAGTCGCAATTTTCACAATTACAAAACAAGACTAGGGTGGTGGTACACACCTACAATCCCAGCCCTCTGGGAGGCCAAGGCAGGAGGGTTCCAAATTGAAGCCAGCTTGGGCTAGATAACAACTGTAAGTCAGACTGTGGTAGAGCCTGTCTCAAAACAATACAGCTGACTGCTAGAGTTTTTCTCAACTCAGATGTTTTCAATCTTTTTATTCATTTGTTTTTACAAATACATCTCTGAAATGACAGATTTCCCCAAGGAAGAGCCCATATCAGTAGCAATGTTTATAATCTCCAACAAACTGATTATCCTTCTCATTAAATCTATAAAATAACTAAATTTCTATTTGACATTCAGTGCTTCAAAAGAGACACTCAATGGATGCTTTCCACATGTAGTGGCAAATAAAAGACACAAAAGAATTCATAAAGTAATGACTCAATCACCAGAAACAAAACCGCACTTTACCTGCTCTGGCACCTGGACGTAACCTCTTTTCTCTAGGAAAGGGCCAATATTTGAAGAGCTACCATGAGCCATCAGGTGCTCAGGAATTTGCTATAAAGAGAGAATTGTGTTATTAATGCTATTGCTTTCCTACCCAAAAAAGTGATAGAATAATCATAAATTTCAAAACCCTTGAGCAATGTGTCAGTAACAATTCCCAAACCGCCAACCTATTACTCTGATTTAATCAATACACTTCTAACAGTCACTGCATCTAACAAGCCACCACGCCTGAACGAGAGACTTGAAGAGTCCCCTATGAAATAGCTAAAATTAACCTTACTTACGATGCTCTTGAGAGATCCAAATGTGGTGATGGTCTGGCGCAGAGCAGATGTGTCTGCTTCAAAGAGTAGGACACTCGAATCTTCCGGCTTAAGGGCCAAACTGCCCAGTCTGAAAATGATAAACTTGAGATATTTTCCAAGGAACAGTATCAGCGAGTATAACATTAAATACAAAAAGGAGGATGGTTTTACCAAGTCAATTTAAATCCAACACATGCAATAAATTACAAATCTGACTTGCTTGTTTTTTTATTTTTATTTTATGTGTGTTATTTAGCTTACATGTATGTGTGAGGGTGTCACACAGACATACATGTAAGAGTATGTTAGAGTTGTGAACTGCCAAGTGGGTGCTGGAAATTGAGCCCGGGTCCTCTGGAAGAGCAGTCAGTGTTCTTAACCACTGAGCCATCTTTCTAGCCCCCTGACTTGCTTTTTATGCCTACTAGTGTAGACCAAAGTCAAAACAAGTAAAAAGTCTTTACCTCTCCAAGCACAGAGAGACTTGATTTGCAAGATCTTTGTTCTGGGTATACTCCAGTTGATGAATAAGACAATTAAATTGGCCCATTAGCTACAAGAAAAATGAAACCATCTATTCACAAAGATATTAAAAGTACCAGCTATATCCAAATTAATACCATTTTCAATAGAACTTTTATCTAATATATTAATTTAAGGCCGAGAAAACATCTCTGGAATCTAGAAAGCATACTCAAACCAATTCTAGCCATGTAGTCAACCTTACCCAATAAAGCTGCTGAGCTTGTTGCTGCAGTGTCTCCTCTTTAAGCTGATAGATAAGATCTACCTGTTCGTTGAGCCACACCTCACGGCTCCGAAGGCATTCCAGGTGGCGACTTATGCAACTGTGAATCTGAGCTTTTACCTGGGAAATATACAGTAGCATAAACTAACGTTAAAAGCCAAAAAATGACAATTCACAAAAATGCTCATGTTCTTAAATTGTTGTGGGACAGAAATCCTTTACTATTCACTGACAATTATGAAAGATCTCTCTGTTTCAGCATATATTCAAAAATTTGCCAGCAATTTCAGTGATCCTATGAATCCTAGTTAAAAAAGGTTTATCTAACTTCTAAACTCCTTCACTCCTCCTCCTGAGAGGATCAGCTTATTTTGATATCAGCAATCAAAAGGAAAAGATATGTCAGGAATACTAATCCCCGTCAGCTCTCCAAACAACTTTAAAACATAGCCTGTAAACTTGGTGGTGTGCACCTTTGGTCCCATCACTAGGGAGGCAGAGGCCATGCCATCGCTTTATGTTCGAGGCCAACATGGTCTACAGATCAAGTTCCAGGACGGCCAGGGATACACAAGAGAAACCTGGTCTCAAAAAAATGAACAAAAGACAGACAGACAGACACTATAACTGGTCTGTGTCCTTTTTCCCACATACATGGAATAAGCAGTCTTTCATAGTAAGCCAGAAAGCAAGGAGACCATTAGGATGGATAATTTAGATAAATCATAAACTAATATTCCTAAGAGTGTATACAGTGATTCACATCTTATCTATATACAAGCATTTTAAGGGAAAATTTCAAACTATATATTACATGGGATTCTACATATCATAAAAGTTACCCTTTGGAAAAACTTGTTTTCCAAGTCTCCTATTACCAGGAGAATGCTATTAAAACTAACAAATTTCATTCTGAGATGCAGAATGACAAAGGCATTTAAAGACTGTACCACTTAAATCATGTTACCAAGTTAAATTAACAGGAGACATAATGAAGTGCATTTTTTATTTTTCAAAAAAGTGCACTTATGCCAGGCATTGTGGCACATGCATTTAATCCCAGCACCAGGGAGGCAGGCAGATCTCTGGGAATTGGAGGGCAGCCTGGCCTACACAGAGAGTTCCAGGATAGTTGGAGCTATGTAGAAAGACCTGTAGGGTAGGTAGGTACAATACTGCTCACTCTGTCTTTGTTACTCTGCACAGCTGGGTACAAGAATCACACAAAGGAGCAATCAAAACATATGCTGAATTGGCATTTTCAAGGTAGATTCTCAGATTCTGCCAGCATGACTTATTTATTTCCCTGTGGGATCAAATGCTCCAACACACCAGGCAGAGTATTTGGGTTAAGACCATGCAAGGTATGGGATCAAATTCTCGGGTAGCAGTGACAAGTTAAGTCCTTTGCTGTGCTCTAACCAGCCTTGCACTACAGCCAGACTGGGGAAGAGAAAAGCACACAGCACACCTCTCGTAAGTTATCTTTAATTTGCTGTTCAGCCCGGAGTACTCCACCAATAGCAAGTTCCAGCTCCCTCCGTGCATCACTGCATCTCAAAAGTGTTTCTCTGTTACTGTAGCAGCCACTCTGTTCCAGGGTTGTATTCATTCTGCTCACTGTTCCTTTAAAAGAAAGAAAGAAATCCAAATAGCACCATAATTACAACCCCAAACCAATCATGGCTCAAAAAGTTACTAAAAAAAAGTTCCTCCAACCAGTTGTCATTATGAACAACTTCGGTAATTTCCTACACATGTACTCTTAATACACATTGCCTCCCTTCCCTTGCCGGCCTCTTTCCAGTAGAAAATTCTAGCCTGGTGGTGGGCAGGCCTTTAATCCCAGCACTCAGGAGGCAGAGGCAGGTGGATCTCCGTGACTTCAAGACCAGCATGGTCTACAGAGAGTTCTACTACAGCCAGGCAGGCCTACACAGAAAAACTGTCTCCCAAAACGGAAGGGGGAGGTGAAGGAAGGAAAGAAAGAAAATTCTATAACTATTTTGGGGACACTCTACATGTGAACATATGTATCTGAGAAAACACAACAATGATTCTGAATTAAAAGAGCACATGCTAGTGAAAATGTGAAATGAACATTAAGCCATGTGTGATCCTGTGTGGCTCTAATCCCAGCACTGGGTGAGAGGGAGGGAATCAGTGCTTCAAAAACCAGTAAAACTAAAACAAAACCAGCAATCATTAATAAGTTTCTAGACTACAATGTGGCTCACTGTGGAAGTAACTCTCTACCACGTATGATTCCTGGGTTTCATCCCGACCACTGCAAAATAATGACAATAAAAATGGACTTAAGGTATAAAAAAAGAGAATTGCTCACTTTTCTTCTGGTTCTAATTCTGTCATGAATTTTTGCTTGCTCAGTGATAAAGTGCATAGAAATATATTTGATAGTGAAAGTATAAAATCCATTGTGAAGCTCCATTGCTTCAGAATTGCTATTCAAAGTATTCACTGAAAATAATATAGACTTTGGGTCTGGTTAATTTTGGTGTGTAATTTTGAATATTTGCAAGTATTTTATAGTAAAGTTTATAAAGTTTTTTTTTTTTCCAGAACTGAGGACTGAACCTAGGGCCTTGCATTTGCTAGGCAAGCACTCTACACTGAGCTGAATCCGAAATATTTTTCTTTTCAAAGAATGAAAATTGCTATTCATAACATACATGAAGTCATGAGGCACTTATTACTCTAAGGTTTAGACCGACCGAGATGTACGGGAGGACCCAGGATTACTGTGAACTCCGCTACTGACCAATACGTTGATAGAGCTTGAAACCCTGCTCAGAGCTGGATGTGCCTGAGTCTGTTAAGGAGATTCTGAGGCAGGAAGGCTAAAAATGCTATCATAGGAGCTGCAGACTGCTCTGTAGTACGAGTGCTTGATCCTCTGAGGAGGAGAGAGTTCAGTTCCCCCACCCACCTAGGAGGCTGACAACCATGTGACTACAGCTCCAGGAGAGCTAACGCCTTGGGTACCCATATAACTGGACAGAGAGACACACAGAAATAACTGTTTGAACAAATAGGATTATATTATGTCCTGTATTAATCTGACAAAATAATTTCATGTAATTTAAGAACCAAAGAGATTTCTAAAAAGAATTTAGTAAATACTGAGGAGTCTCTAAAAGGATTAGGAGAAAAGCACAAGTGGAAAGAAAAGCAAGTGATATGTGAGATGAACAGAAAGAAGGGTGTCATTAAAGCGATGAGGTAAACTTGACAACGTTCACTGGAAGAACAGTCTGGTGTTTATCTTGGACAGATTTAGAAGTAAGGTAAGGTTTATAAACACAGAAAAAGCAAGCACAGAGTGTCTGCCTATCATGCATGATCCTCAGTACTATATAAAACAGTGGAAATGTAGCACTCCTGAGGGAGAGGCAGGAAGACTAGCAACCCAAGGTCATCTGATTATCCCATCCTCAGCTACGCAGTAAGAAAGCCAATGATAGAGCCCAAAAGGGGTCACCAGGCCTGTATGTAGTGGGGTTTTTGTTGTTGTTGTTGCTTTTAATGAATAACTGTTTTCTCTAATTACTGGGATTGAAAAAATAAAAGGCAGATGTTAGAAACATAGATCTGTGACAGAAACAAACTCCAAAACTATTTCTATGTAATTTTAAACCTAATAAAGCAAATAAAAGTTGTTTTCACTTGAAGAGTAAGGGCAGCTAGAAGAGAATTTTAAAAAGAGAGAGAGACCTTGCTGAAAGCAAATTCTGAGTCAGTACTCTACTTGGTACTCAGTAAATTTAATTCATGTTATTTGAATGCATCTGTCACAAGTATACTCAGTCCTGTGATTATTAGGCTGAAAATTATTTCTGACTAACATGCTCTGGAGACATTTAGAAAAGGGAAGGAGGCCTCAAAACCACAAGGGAAAAAAAAAAATCTCCAAACAGGAAGGCTGTTTGGCCTAGATAAGCAACGCTGGGAGGACGCGATTACTGCTCTCAGACATTTGGAGACATGTCTAGTGGAATTTAGACTTCAGAAGAGCCCCAAAAGTCCTGAGAGTCCTTAAGGCAATGACTTCAAAGCAGCTGCTCATCCAACTCAGTGGAGTCACAATGGCTGTCTGTCCATTTGCGGCATTAGGAGCATTTTGGATTGGCCTTGACAGCATCCCAAAGACTAGGTTTCACATTAGGCTGAATACGGGCAGGAACAATACTGAGCTCACACCCTCAGATCTAAACGAATGGAGTTAGAGAGGTAGCTCGGCAGGTGAACACGCTTGCTGCATCCACATGGCAGCTCACACTGGCTGTAACGACTATCTGAGGGGGCCTCAGACACCAGCCATGCAGGTGGTACAGAGACATAAATGCAGGAAAAAAGCAAACACCCATACACATAAAATAATATTTTTCAGAAAAGAAAGAAGAAACTTATAGGAAGATAAAGCTCAAGAGTCTTTTTTACTCCACTTCAGCAAGGACTCAGATGGAGAAACTTCTAAGTTCCTACCGAAAACTCAAAGTTCAGTAGATTTTCTAACTTCCCACTTGCTAATTCTGTTACCTCTGTGTGTTTACCCACAATGACCTACACAAGGAAGGGCTTCCTCAATTGCATTTGTCAGAAGCCCTTGTGGAATTTTTCCTAATCCTGGAACATCAGCTGTATTAATTTATGTCTCCATCTCATCGGTGGGCTTCAAGTGTACCGGGCACACACTGTAGTGTCTTTGGAAGAACCCTGCCAACAGTAATGCTGGAAGGTTTGGATGCCAAGTGTCACTCACTGCCATGAGCTGTTCCACACTGCACTAAAGTTAGCCACGCATGACTGCATAGCTATCTTCCCAGCTGTCTTCACCTGGGCCAAGCTTCTCAAGTCCTCACTTGTGTGGAATGCTGCAATACACTATAAAAATTTTAAAATACTGCTTCACAGCATGAAAACCCCACAACAACTCTAGGCAAGCCACAAACACTCAAAACACAAATAGAGCAGACTGTACTATTTAGTTCCTTAACAGGAATCTTTGCAATCCAATCACAAGCATCTTCAACTGCCCAGGAGTAGACATGGACAAAAACACACAGTCGCTCACAACTGATCTCAGTACTCAGGGGCTAAGACTGCAGAGAGTTCAAGACCAGTCTGAGTTACATGGTGAATCCTAAGAGATCTTGGGCTACAATGTGAACCTAGCTCAACATGATTAGATTTAAAACAAACAAACAAACCAAAAAAAAAAAAAAAATCCTAGTTGGTTTTCTCCTATCAGCAATAGAAGATTGATTTTACCACAGTGGGTTTTTTTTTTTTTTTCAATTTAAAAAGGGTACTATCTTTAAAAACAAAAAATGTGTACAACTGCTGGCTGCCCACCCTTGATTTTATAAGGCCATCACAATCAACTACACGTAGAGGGCCGCGCTGAGGTTCAAGTGAGAGGGTGTGTGTTTGAGAACTTACTTCTGCCCCACACACTATGTTACTGGTTGTGGTTTTGAGACAGGCTCTCTACCTAGGCCTGGCGAGCCTGGAACTCTAGCTGTAGACCAAGCCTGCCTATCACCACAGCAGTTTGCACCTGCTTCTCAAGTGCTGGCACCAGAGCGCCTCCGCAGACACTGCTACTTTTGACACTCAGTTGGGCTCCGCTGAGTGACTGTAACCTAAATAGCCTCCACCTCTTGAGTACAGAAAGCGGTACTAAGAGTCCTGTAGCCACCTTAGTGCTAAGACCTTGAGCCAGCATTTCCACTTCCTCCACAAGATGTCCACGTTAAGGGGAGACAGTGCTCTCTGTACAGACGCAGCTGGTGCTTGTCTAGTCAACAGCTCCCCGCTTAGTCTTTAACTATACAGTCTGAGCCTTCTAATCAGAGTTTGCACATTTTTGCTGTTTTCTTATTTTTAATTCGGATGTGTCTGGTGTATTCACAGGTGCAGTGTGTGTGTGTGTTCATGGCTGTGTGTACATAAGCCATCTCCTCTCAACTGTTACCTAACAAAGTGGATCAAACTGGCCCTAATCCTAAAACTCAACTAAAAATATTGAATGTCTTTTTATCTTCACCTTAATAACAAAAACTACTGCCCTAGCACTTTCAAGCAAAAATTGAATTAAATTAACTGTTTCCAGGAGTTTTGTTTGTTTGTTTGAACTTCCTTTTTTCTAGCATCTCAGTTTTAGAGTACTGGAAAAATGTGAAAGAAACACACCCAATCCTCAACCACCAACCCCCCAAAAAAAACAACCCGGGATTTGGGGAGGGGCAGTATCGATATGCAGCACACACATCTAGTAAAGCCCAAGATCTTTGAACCAGTATTGAGCAACAAACCACAAACATAAGATAACTTGATGTCCTAAGCTTTAACCACAAGATTTCCAAAAATCTGTAATTCTTGTGGCCTAAACTGACCACAAACTGAAAGACAGAAAAACTTACTGGGGGCATAGCTCAGTGGTAAAGTGTTCAGCATGTTCAAGGTGCTAAGTTCAACTCTCACCGCCGATAATGCAGTTAAATGAAACCTTTGCTATTTTATATTTTAGTACAGGACCTACATTTCATGTATGAAGCCAAAGGCTTACATAGTACTAAAGACACACACATACATACCTAATAGTGTGTTTGTGTGTGAGTATGTGTGTAGGACAATGAGCCTGGTGTTCAACACAGGCATCCTACTGACGTTGAGATTTATTTTTATTGTGGGCATTAGTGTTCTGTTGGCATTGAACATGTGCACTGTGTGTGCCTGGTATTGGAGGACAAAAGGCACCAGCTCCCTGGAACTGGGGTTACAGTGATTACACCAGTGCTGAGAACCAACCTGGTCCTCTGCAAGACACACAAGTGTTCTCATATGCTGAACCATAAAGGGTCACAACGATGGGGGGAGGGAGGGAGGGACTTAGATTTAGAACAAGTGTTCTCAAGGTCTAGCCCTGTGTTAGCTCCTCTACCTTTAGAGTATTATAACCCATGAATTATGCTTATTAAAATTAGAGTTTAAGATTAACGTTTCTAAGGGTTTACTATTAATTTCCATAGAAAATCAATACATTTTATAGTTCTTGATAACTTACAAGCAGAGTTCCAGAACCATCTACCTTGGATGACAACTGCAAAAATACCTAAGACTGTCATGATAGCCTCAGAATAATATACCAGTGCCAGGCAGGAAGAAGTTGTTCCAGCCTTTGTATGAAATCATAACCACTCCATGTTTATTTGCTGACTGAATCAAGGTTTAAAATAGACTTTTTTTTTTTTTTAATGAAACACAGGGACTCAGTAAACAGACCCACCTGCCTCTGCTTCCAGAGTGCTGGGATTAAAGGCCAGCGCCACCTCGCCTGGCCAGAAGAGATAATCTCCTAATGCTACCCTCAAGCTCTCATTCTTCGTCAGCCTGCTCTCTGCCTCCAAGAAAGCCCTCCACTTTTTACTGATCCACAGGACACACACGTATATATATATGTTGCAAATTTGAAATAGTGTCAACTGAGTTATTGTTTACGAGACAACCTACATGAAACTTTCTATAAACTTGTATTTCGTGAAAAGGTTATCAATTTAGTAAGTGGTATTTTGCAATTTTACCTTGAGCCATTTCTTGACTTCACTTGTTCTTCTGTCAGTGAAAAAAGGTTTTTTAATCACAACATATTATCTCAAAGACGATAAAGATCTTAAGCTGAGTCTACCTCAAATTATTTACCTTCGGCACCACTCTGACTTGCTTTCACAAGACTCTTCTAGACCCCAGAACATACTCTAAGCAGCAACCGAAAAACGGCCGCAAAATTCTGCCACCTAATGGCAAAACTAAGGTTTTCTTGGTTCAAAAACTAACGGCAAAATTAAGCTAGAGTAACAGTGACTCAAACAGCTTTCTAGGCTTCCGGTTGCCGTTTCTAGGAGCGGCTGTGAAACCCGGCTCCCAGGGCTCCCGGGCTCCCCGCACGCATGCGCACTCTCCCGGCCCGGGCCGCGCGACCACTTACCTGTCAGCCCAGCCGCGCGACGCCAACTACCGCGGGATGGAGCGCGGCCCTTATGTCCTCCCGGCCGGTCAGGCGCCGGGCCGGGCCGGGCCGGGCCCCGCCCGCCCGCGTCCCGCCTCCCTGCCCCCCCGCAAACACACCGGCTATCCGCCCGCCTCCCAGCCTCCCAGCCTCCCAGCCTGTGCAGGCCCTCGGCTCCAGCCCGCACCGCCTCCGCCTCTCCAGCCGGCTGAGCCGCAGGAAAGAGGGCTCAGCTGCAAATCGCCAGTCACAGAGGGAAAAGCGGGGCCCGCACCCCTTGCCGGCTGAGAACTCACCCCGGCGCTATTTTGGTTTGGTTGGTTTGCCGGCTGAGGCCAGGCTAGAGCGCGAGTGCAGGGACAGCCAGGGCAAAGCAATGAAATCCCGTCTCGAAAAGAAAAAAGAAACAGAGGCTCTTACTGTGTAGTTAAGGCTGCCTCCCCCGCCCCCCGAAAGCACCTGTGTAGTTAAGGCTGCCCAACCCCTCCCCGCAAGCTGTGAGGTTCCAAAGTGCTGTGACTGGCAGGGTACAAAGGAAAAAGTGAGTCAGGGCAGAGAAAGGAAAACGCCCCCCACCCTGGAATCTACTCTACATTTCCTGTCTGAGAGTAAAGAAACCTCAACATAACTGAATAAAACCAAAATATGTCTTCAGAGATAGAGCTTGTTCTCCTAAAGGCATTTAAAGAAAAGGGTTATCAGAAACAACCAATTCCATTAGGAGTGGCTCAAGCCTGTAATCTCAACACTTGGGAGGAAACAGGATCAAGAATTAAAGGGAAGCTTGGCCACAGAGGAATTCAAGGTCAGCCCAGGACACCTGAGACGGTTTCAAGGAATACAAATTAACAAAAACCCTCTGCTTTAAGACCAGAACGTCCTGACCTTGAGTTGAACTATATTAACTCTTCTCATCCCTAACCCAGACAATAAGCCTCATAGAACCAACAGTTTAATTTACAAACATTATTTAAACCAGCTTATACTCTTTTTACTTAATGTTTAAACTTTACTCAACTTTTAAACTTTGCTTACTATTTAGACTTTGTTGTAAATTTCTTCTGAACAATGCAACATAAAAAATGGTAAACACTCAAGTGCAAAACTCTAACGTCTCTAATGATGTCGTAGAAGTCTAGTGCTTGAACAGAAGGCTACATCTCTTATCTCTACTCCATAAACTCATTAACTTGGCTTCCGTCAGATGACATTCTTTCCTGAGGCGTGGTCAGAGTGGAGGAAAGGGCAATGTGGGCAGACTCGGGACAGTGGAGGCAGTGGAGACTATTGGCCACATCAGACACCTGTTTTCTCTTTTCTATGCATGTGAAGTGACTTTTGTGAGCACTAAGAGTAAAGCAAAATCCTGAGGAAGACTCAAGCATCCTTAGACACCAAGTCCCAGGCAGAGTCGGCAGTCGGCAGTGTTTCCTCCTGTCCTGAAGCACAGTGTGAAATCCCAGTTCAAACATTCTTTACAAAAGAAAGAAAACAGCTAGTTCAAATAGCCTCTTTGAATAACACAGTTGGTGAAGATACGAAGACCTAAATGAATGAAAAATGTATGATTCTCTGTACTTCATGTCTGGGGCTAGTTCTTAGGTTATTAAAGTAAATCTGGTGTTACGCAAGGTAACCCCAGCACTCAGGACATTACAGGAGGAGACTCATCCCTGCCATCCTGGGCTGCACTGAGTTCAAAGCGGTACATCTATAGATGTACATATGGCAAGGCCCTTCCTCTAGGGAGCAGAGAGCACAGCTAACCAGTGTGCGGGACTGCTGTGACTCTTGACATTTCCATTCTGGTAAACCAAGAATTCCCTCTTTCCACCCATTCTCTCTGTCTTGTTCAGCTTGGCTCTCCACTTTTCTGCCAGCAATGGTATAGCTGTCTGCTTTGCACTAGAAAGGCTTTCCTGAACAAATATGTCATTCTTCAATATTAGCAGCCAATAGAACTATCATGCTGCTTTCTGGTGCCTACCGACATCTATTAGGTTTCCAGTATGAACCCAGCAACGCAGAGGTTCTCAACCTTCCTAACGCCAATACGGCACCTCATGTTGTGGTGACCCCCAACTATAAAATTATTTTTGTTGCTATTTCATAACTGTAATTTTGCTACTGTTATGAATTGTGATTGAATAGCTGTTTTCTGATAGTCTTAAGTGACCCCTTCCAAAAGGTCATTTGACTCCCCTCCCACAAGGTCAAGACCCACAAGAACCACTGTTTTGACACATGGTATCCTTGTTAGGCCTACTTTCTTAGCCACTTTGGGACACCCCAAAGTGTACACACAGCTTGGTGTCGTCTGTGGCTTGGCATTAAGAACCCTTTCCATATTCTGTATGTGTGACAGAGTTAGCCTAATGAGAAAGGTACCCCAGCATTGTACCAATGCTTGGTCTTGAACTCACCAGTGGTTAAATACATCTTTTATCAATGGATGAATAAATAATGTATTAATGATCAAATTCAGAGCAGCCACAATAATAAGTATTTCTGTTATAAACATAATCAACTTGATGTTGTCCCATTAAAGATTGTAGCATTATTTTAGGGAAGTAATTCAGAAGAGGATAATGTTTCCAACACAATTATTCTTTTTTACACCCCAGTACTGGAGGCACAATGCCCAGCCTTGGATAAGCTAGACAACACTTTAAACTACACCCCAGCCTTTGGTTTCTGACAGTTTAGTGTAATTCAAGCTGGTCTTGAACTCAGTATTGTTCCTCTGGTCTGGACTCCCAGAACCCTGGTAACAACACCCAGATTAACTTAATTCCTTGTTTTCAAACAAAACAGAACTGGTAAGGTCACTGCAGAAACCATAATCCCAAGATGAGTGCTGAGAAAGGCTGTAAAATTGGCTGACTCAAAAATCTTAGTTCCACAAATTCAAAACAACAACGGGTTTGTGAGTTAAAATGTGCACTGTATTTACAGCCAACTCAACATTTTCCCCTCAGGCTTCCCCCTCTGTAAGTACCAAGAAACTCCAAGTGACATCAACAAAAGCCAGGTAGGTTTAATTCTGGGGCTGTCCTCTATCTTCAACCTGAACTTCGTGGCCCAAGAGAGTCAAGAATATAGGAAACAGGTTACTTATGTACCTTACACAAGAATGCCATTTATCTCTGGGTTTGTGTAACTATCTAGTGGGGTTTTCCTACAGAAGCAAACAAAAGATAAAATATATTTCCTCTCTAAAGCCTGAGGGACTAGTAATAAAGCCAAAGTGAAACTCAAAACATAGCCTGGCAAATTATTTTGAACACTGTAATTACCCATGTATTAAAAGACTGTGCTACTTACTGACAAACAAGCAAACCTCATTAAACCTATTTTGTCACTGAACACGGAACCAAACTGCTAGGTCTGTAGGGCAATCAAGGTAACCCCAAATGGAAGGAGCTACCAGCTCAAAAACCCAGGTAGAATCCTAGTCCCCCTGAGAAACATCTTGACCCTACTGTATAATCAAGGCAAGCAAAACCAACCTAGAGGAAGATGGTCACAAGCACTTGAGAATCGCTCGTGTTAGACAAAAAGTAAGTAACCAGAGTACCTACACAGGAATTATTTGGTTCATTTGCCTGTGAATCTAATTCAGGGAGTATTATAACATGCTAGGATGTGGCGTATATAAACTATAAGCTTACAAATGATGACCGAAATGTTAGATTTAACAATCACAGAAGAAGGGCTGAGAAGGATAATGGCTCCTCTGAAAGACAAGCATAGAAAGAGAGCACTACTACTGGCAATACTCCCCAGAACAAAAGTGCTCAATTTGACAGCTATTACAGACTTGACGGGGTTAAATACAATACATAGTCACAAGCTCCCAAGACCAAAGTCTGAGTCTGCTTGCTTCTTAGCATTTGACTAATATCCAGCGTGAGTCTAAACCCCTCCAGCTTCACCAGGTATTTTGAAGGTGCCATTTAAGGCTTATGTAGTCATTCAAGTATTTAAGGTCTTGAACTGAAAGGCAGTGTTGTTGTCCCTGAGGATACAATGTTGAGTCTGCCATCTAGTGGA